TTTTTTTTTTTTTTTTTTTTTTTTTTTTTTTTTTTTTACGTATGCTGGGGGGATCTACTTTCTGTTTGCCCGGATTTAAAATTACCCGTCCTGCTTTCAGGAGACGCAAAGGAGGGGGTTCGGAAGATTCGTGCTGTGGACCGGGAACACAGTACTAACCGAGACTAACTTATTCCCCCCGCCCCGCCGTTTCCGTCCCGGGGCACCGGGCTCCCTGCCGTGAGGGTTTACGCGACATGAGTATTGATACACTTCTGGAGGCGGCCAGGTACCTGGAATGGCAAGCCCAGCAGCAACAACAAACCAAACGTGGTAAGTGGAGCGACGCTGCTGCAYCCCCGTGCACAAACAGGGCGTGCTGACACTTAAACTGCCCGGGTCCCGTTACCACAGCCGGGAAGCCTCGAGACCTTTACTCCGAACAGAACCGTCYGAGCTCCGGCTGGAGAAACCCGCTCCAAACTGTCATTCATCCCCGAACAATGTGCTGTACTCTAATGCGGAAATGGACAAAGTTGTTTTTCTGAAGTAAGTGCGTGTGTGTGACAGTTTCAACACTCCTGACTGACCGTACGCGCGCGCGTGTGTAATGGAGACCAATAGAGGAGTTCCTTTACGTTTTCTCTTTTTTTATTTTAAATTTAATAACCCCTCATTTTATTCATTTTATCCTCTTGTTTCTTTTAATCGTGACGGAATACTTGCATTTTATTTAAAGTATCACTTATATTCGTGTTAAAGAGGGAGGAGGGGTCTTAATAGATTTTAGCTCCATTCTTCTTTTTCTTTTTTTTTCGTCGAGCACCGGCAGGGCGGTGGCAAGCAGCTCTTTACATAATCCCCTGACATTCAGCTATCTCATGACACGCGCGCTCACTCACGCGGCCGCAGTCCAACCAGGATAGTTTAAATTTATAAATATCAGTTTTGCGCATTTTATTCGCACTTGAAACGGAGAAGTTGTCACGTCGACGTAATGATTTCTGACTAGGTGAAAGGAGGAGGAAAAGAAAGAGGGGAGGAGGAGGGGTTGCTTCGTTTTTTTGTGTTTTCTCCCCGCTGATGACGTGTCAACCCCCTCCCTCCCTCTCTTGCATACCGCGTGCTAGGATCCACCCACGGCGACCACGTGCACTTTCCCCCCTTCTGCTAAATACGTAACTTTGCGCATGCGCAGTGACACGCTCGCCCTTCCCATTCAGGCGGCTGACTGTGGCGGGTCAGGCGCCTCCCTGCTTTTACTACAACACAACACGCCAGGTTATTACATTATGTTTTATTTAAAACAGAAAAAATACAAACTACTCTCATGTCAAAATYATTCTTTGTCAAATATCTTTTTTTTCCTGTTTGACGCATTAAAATAAGTGTTTTACTAGTGCAAGAGTCAAGGCCATATTTGGGCTTGTTATGCAAATATTTGTATTCAAAAAATGATAATGTTTTTGTGTGTGTCTGTGGTGTTAGCAAAATACATCCTGAACCAATATGGATTTTATTGAAACTTTCAGGAAGTGATCACAGCTGATTCCGTTTTGTAATCTTTGCAATATGTACGTCACAGCTTARCAAACMAAAAATGACCATAACTCAGTCAAATTTACAGATATCAGACTAAAAGCTGGTGTGATACTAGCTGATAGTTGTGCCTAAGACATACGTCAAAGAACCTATAGATTACCTGAAATCTATTTATAAAAATTTGCCTTTAACTTTTGGGATCAACTCTGCTTGTCTGTTAGCAAAATGTCTCACAAACTAGTGGACAGATCTTGATGAAACATTCAAAAAGCAATCACTGGATGCACTTCTACAGCTCATTAACATTTTGGAGTCACTTTACTTAAAATGGACACTAATCGGGCAAACATAATGAACAGAAGTGTCTATAAGGCTGCCAGTTTTACAGATATTAGCTAAAATCTGGTGTGGTAGGAGCTGATGGTCCTTCTCAACACATTAACTGAGTGCTAACCTTTTACCTGGTCACATTTCTATCATAAAGATAATCTCTGACGTGAGAGTTGGCAGCAAAATGCACCCCTTCAAGCTGGTTTTTTTTGCAGTTTTTTGTTCCTCGACCAAATATTCTGTTCTTGAAACCAAACAAAACTGTATTTTTTTAATGTCTGACAAGTGCCCGGTTAGATTAAACACCTGGATGAGACGTAATGATTCTCAGCTTCACGTAAATTAAATAATAGTAATAATAAAATGATTAGAGAGTGCAGAATGTGCAGAGAGAACAGTTTGTTTTTCTGCGTATCATCATCATGACGACAGTATCTTAGTGC